GGCAATTGATGCACGTGTTCGCATTATACAAGCAGCCGGCCGTGGATTGAGCTCCCTCTGGTTGACATTGTGTACAAAGTACATCTGCAACGTCCTCGAGGTGATACCACTTCGACCGCATGTCATCGCTGCCCTCCCTGCCAATCGCCTTACCTTCTCTCCGCTGCTCTTCATGATACATCTTCTGCTTGTTGAAGTGAGCAGTGAAGTCCGGCTTGCAGTGATAGCGGACATTACCGCCTGTTGCACCCTGAGGCACATTGAACTGCAATGGGGACACGCCCTCACATGCATACTCCAGGTCGGTAACTGTCTGTGCGTCAAGCGAAAGCACATCCATGATCATCTCGACGATCAGATTCTTTTGCAACACATAGAAAAGCTTGGAATCCCCAGTGCTGCTGTAGCTGCGATCCGTCAGGTCGTTGTCGGTGACAACGACGCACAACTCCATCACCTTTGTTGCGGTCAGCATCAGGTTGCCAGTGCTCTGATGGAATTCTGGGTGGTTGTTGATACTCACGAATACTCCTCCGCCGCATATGCTTGAAAGTTCATTCAGAACTTCGAGCAGGCCATTGTACTCGTAGTTGGCGTCGATCTTCCACTCGAAACCTTGCTTGTAGATGCAGTCGTACAACGACATCCAAATGTGTACCGAGCAGTTCGCGACGTGTTGCTTCCATCGGCCGCCACCTTTGAGCGTGTTGATCAGTCCTCTGATACGAGCAACAAGTGGGATTGTTGTACCATTTCATAGTATGACATCTCGATGACGTTGTCCCAACCATTGTCATGCATGCGGGATTGGAACGTCCTGATGCGCTTCCCAGTTTTCTGCCTCAATGGCCAATCAAGGATCACGTAGGACTTGGTTGACGTCGCGACATCGCACAATTGCTGGCAGGTGAGTTCAGTACCCCCCTCATTGTTGCACCTCTGATGGTTTTTGAAACTCCAGCATTGGCCGTGTCGGGATTGTCATGACCGTCAGTGAGAGCCTTCAACGCGGTCGCTCCGGGTAGCTTTGCCGCTTGTTAAGGTAGGCATCGACTAACCATCATCAACAGACAAGGGCAAGAGCAAGAACAACTACAAGAGAACCCCAAACAACTTTCCAAATAGGCGCAAAGAGGGGCAACCCTATTCCTTGCAATGGTGAAGGATGGGTGAACATCGACCACATTCTGGACCGCGAGGACGTGTTCCCGCACAATCGGTACAAAAAGAGCGACAGATTCCAAATCATCGCCGAGTGCATCAGATCGGAAGATCGCAGAGCACGGAAACCGAGACTGCAGATTCTTGCTGCGAGATTGGACCAAGAAATCGACATTGACTTGATAACGGGTCTCATAGCGGCTGGATGGACAAAAGACAACATCGACTGGATTCGTCACGAGCAGCGGATGGTGGCAACCATGGTGTGTTCGAGCATCGTCAGGACATTCTGACTTCGGATTCGCTCGTCCAGCTGACTTTGCAACATGTTGTTTCCAAATATGTCCGATCGCTTGGGCGGAGCGTTCCACGTGACAAAGCCGTCAGCATCTTACGAGGCATTGTTCCAGGCGGCAACGACAGCGCGCGAAGGTTGGCGGCACACTTCGGAGCATTTGCACCTTGGGACAGCGAGAACATCTCGACCAAGACTGCGTTGCACGACGTCAAAGAGGGAGATGACCTCATCGCCATCTACGTGCCAACGAGGAAATTGTCCGTGTACCAGTCAGGGGTCACATCGGGTGGGACGATTGTCGCCTTTGAGACCATTCCCTTCAAAGAGATCAGGGCGATCTGGAGCTTCAAGTCCGTGATGTCAAAGAGGTTAAACGCATCTACTCCCGCGTCGTCGAGAGCGAGATCTGTCCAGGATTCAAGGACGCTTTTGGGCGTGACGCGTGACCCCAGTGGACTTTCTTGGAAACCTCAAAAGCTTCTTGGACGATGAGGATTCATCGGATGCTGAGATCCTGAAGAAGATGGTCGTCATGGCGTGCATCAACGTCGAAGTGCCCGAGCTTTTGAACAACTCGTTGGTTGAGATCAGGGATTTGCTCAGCAGGTTCATTGCGAGGACGACCCATCCAATATTTCCAACAAAATAAGCCCTGCGCGACGCTGTCATCATCCCGAGAGGATTTTGCTATTGCACGGCGTGCGACTGTGAGCTCATTTCCACCGGCAAGTTCGTGATGCAGCCCAAAGCATCCGACACCCCAGGGTGACGGAGGAAGTAAAGCAAGCTCAGCATCGTCGCCGAGGAAGAACGACCCGACACCAATGAGATGAGCGAGGGACGATCCGCAGACAGGTCGTACCTCCCATCGGACATCGGGACGGGTATCGACGATGATGATGTGGGAGTCTGTCCAGACAATCCCGAGGAGGACGCAGACGCAATTCATCTCCTGCAAGTCAAGGCAATTTGCGTCGACGAGCCTGGCGAGGCATCGTACCTCTCTGGCTTCATTGGCATCATACTTTTCAAAGTGTGGAAGGTATTCGCCAACAACGGGAGAGAGAGAGAGAGAAGGAGGGATGTCATGTCGCCGACCGTTGCTTTCCTATTTGACACACTCTTGTGTTCAAATGTAGTTGCTTTGCGTTCGCTCCGTTTCTCTCTTTTCCAGGCCGCTCGTTTGTACTTCGGCTCCCTGGCCGACTCCATGCTGAGCTTGTTCATGAGTATATCCGGCGGTGTGAGTTGGGAGAACGTCGTGACCCCCTTGAAAGCCGTCTCGGTGGCGTGGGTTTTCCTATTTTTGTTCTATGTGTCTTTTACATACTTCGCTGTGCTGAATGTGGTCACCGCAGCACCTTGGATGCAATCTTTTGCCTTCACTTTTTAAAGTCTGGGTGGATTGGTGCGCAGTCTGGGTTTGTTTTTCCTTGTCCAATGCGGGCACGAGCTCAGCCAGGTCTTCTGCCAGTCTGCGATTGACGGGGCGCAAAACGACCACGCGTCAAAGGTGCATGCAATCCTGGCCAATAAAGCGTCTTGGCACGTTGGCACGTTTGCACTGGCCACCATCTACACAGGGTTTCGCATGTCAAAGAAGCATGTCAGGAGCAGCATTTGGCCAAGATCAAGAAGCTCTTCAGCAAATTCGGGGATCAAGGAGCCATCACCTTCGCAATCTTCCAGGATAAAATCAAGTCCGCCGAAGTGAAGGAATATTTTCAGACACTGGGCAGCTTGGCTCAGGGTTCTGCTTTGTGCTCTCTGCTTTGAGGGGTGCAGTATTGGACGATATTTTCTTTAGCGCCCGGAAAGTGCGCGGTTTGTCGTCCGATCAGGCAGCGTTGGTGGTAATAGAAGCAAGCAGCATGATGCTTATGGACATTTCGCAAAGGGATTCCAGTGGAAGGCGTAGGGAAGGTCAAGGCCACTGCTTTTGCAACATGTGTCAACAGACTCTTTGTTCTAACTTGCCGTGTCTCGGAAGCTTTTGGCCAAAATGGTCACTCTGCCCTTTTGAAGACAGGTTCCGCATTTTCCATGGGCATAGAAGAGAGGGCGACGCAAGGCCTCGACATTTGGGATGCCTGGTCTTTTTTCAAGCTGCTGGATGAAGATGGCGGTGGAGAGGTTGAGATCGAAGAATTTTTGATGGGATGCCTGCGACTCCGCGGGCAGGCCACAGCCATGGACGTTGGAGCCTTGGACTCAACATGTTCTTGTTTGCCTTCTTGCTGTGCTTGTTGGTTGTTTGGGCGTTTGGGCATGCCGTGCCAACAGAGGCAGTCAACCAGCCGGAAAACAAGGTGAAATCTGGGAAGCTGAGGCAAGATTATGAATGACCAGACGTGGCTCATCAACAGCCAGGGGAAGTTCCAAGCGTACATGGAGATCGAGCTCAAGGCGTTGAAGGAGCAGCTGGCGATTCTCACAGGCAGGTTGCTCTCAAAACTAGGCTAAATGGGCAGTGCGTGGTCGAGAGTTCCCTTGAAGGTGTGCAGTTCGGCACGGAGGAGCAGCTAAGCCTCATCTTCAGCAACCATGACACGGATCATGAAAGGCAGACATCAATTTAGGAGAGCGCAGTCAGATGCACAAGTGGAGGGCAAGCCGTGAAGCCTGAAAGTTTCGTGTGACGCAGGTTGTGTGTCAGATGGGTTTGCACAGGCTTGCCACCACCTCTTGGCACCTGTCGTGCCCGTAAGGTCTTCACCTGCATAGCCGCCCAAAGGGCGCGCCGGGTTTCAAAGGTGGACTCCTTTGTTGCCGTTCAAAGGTGCACTTGAGGTCTTGCACTGTGCGCTTTCAAGGCCAGTAGTACTCGCCGGCCTGGAAAGCGGAACGGTGCGGAGAGCGCAGAGATCTCTCGGTGCTGAGCCCTCACCGGGCTGTAAGAGTAACTCAACTTTTGGGCTCTGCTCAGGCCATCCAGACCCGGCAAAGCCAGGTCCGCCATCCGTGCGAAGAACCTGAACTGTATTGTTCGGTGCCGCCCCTGCAACAGGCCCAACTCCATGTTGCAGCCGTTTCACTTCAGGGCGTGGCTTAGTTTTTCAAGTTTGAGTTGCTGCTTCCAGCAACAGGCTGGCCTGTGAGCTCGGCAACAGGTACCTTTTTTTGAAGATGCGAGATTGGAAGGTGGTGATGTTGACTTTGAGCGTTGCTCGCAGTTATGGTCGAGCAACTGCAGTGAGCTGCAATGTGTGCTTTCTGCTCTGCGACCCTAGACGCATCTCCACCGACTGACAACTTTTCGGAACGCATCCCCGCTGACTGACAACTTTTGTGTGGCCTGTTTATTTGCGATCGAGACTGTCGATTTTTGGACCTTGATCTGATGGTTCCTGCCAAAAATGAACGGGCTATGCAGGTAATCTGAATTTCGTTGCACGCGCGAAAAGTTGGCTTTGCACGCTTTGCGTAAAGTCAGCACGGCAGGCTTCAGCCCACCCACTCGAAATTGGGACCCTGGGCCCGCTGGCCCAAGTAGTTGGCAAGTGTAAAACCTTGGATTGGATGCTTGATGGCTTGCGACCAGGACAGTCGTGGACAACCTACCCATACAAGTATCAACCGCATGAAGCTACCTCAAGGCCACAGTGGTTTGCTCCGCACCACGCACGCCTGGATCACCGTGTTTACTACCCCTTTGAGATGACCAGCTGCTTGGTGAAATGTCAGATCGTTTTCTAGCGCGCTCGGGTTTTGATCGTGCCGCGTTGAGCTTGAGGCAAGAGTGATTTGACGAGTGCTTACTGCGTCACGGACCACAACCCGTACTGCTTCTCCATGGAAGGCTTCATGCACCGCATGTCTCAGAGGCTACTGGAAGGTGAGCCGTCCGTGCTGTCGCTCTTTGCCAAGAGTCTTGTATAATGGGGCAGCTCTTCCATGTTCACCTGCTCAGACACTGCAATGGATGAGCTCTCAGTTGAGGAACCCGTTCTCTGACAAGCCGCCAGCGCTACTCCGGGCTCGGGCCTCAGCATGCGTTCGTGTCTGGCAAGCTTCGCCTTCCATGGCAGTCTCGACTTCTCGAGTGGTGCGCTTGCACAGAGGCACGCTTCCCACTTTTTCCCGTTTGCTTTGGCAGGTGGTAGCCTATGGAGTAACTCCGACGAGCTGGGCACATCACAAAGCCACTGGGCGTCATGGCGGCATTCAGTGCAGCTCAGGATCGCAGGGCATAGTCCATGTGCCCTTGCTTGCAGCTGTCCGGATCAAGCAGGGGTCCAAGCAGAACATGAGATGTGGACACCACAGTTGGCTGAGTTTGCACGGGATGTTGTAATTTGCAAAGGCATAACAAGGAGTATCAGAGAACACTGCAATCAGGTTTGAGTGCAGGGGCAGCTCCTGAAAGTCGTCAAAGAAAGTAGGGCTTCTCCATATGAAGAAGGGCTTTCTCGCCACGAGAAAGCCGCGGCGCGACGGCGACGGCTATGGCCCTCAGGGAGCCCCGCCTTCGCCTTCGCCTTCGGCCGTCGCGTCGGGGCCTCGGCTCAGGGCGCTGCTCGACGCTGGTTGCGTCTCGGCTGCCCGGCGTGGTGCGGAGCGCGTGCTGCGCCTGGAGGCCCAGTCGCCGGAGCTGCTGGAGCTGCTGGGTGCCGTGACATCGCAGGAGGCGAAGGCTCTGGAGGAAGCGGAGCGCCTCGAAAGAGCCCCGGTGGAGGCCCTGTTGGTGCTTTTGCGCGCTGGCATTGAAAATGCAGCTGCCTGGAGGAAGGCAGACAAGGCTTTGGAGCAGAGCCTTGCCAAGTTCGGGGCGATGCTGGAAGAACTCGGCGTTCTCAAAGACGGGAGCTTACTGCGCAACTGCCAGGCTTTGCAGGATGATGGTCGTCAAGTCCTGATATTCAGCAGCCGCGATTGGCATCAAGCAGGTGTATGGACCCAGCTGCCTGCCGCCTTTCCAGCCTGTGCTGCGGGAGTCTTGCGGGCCTCGCAAGCAGACCCCAAAGCCGAGTCATCGGTGCGCATCCTGCGCAGCGCATGCGGGAAGGCAGATCCAACAGAGCTGTCAGAGGCCACGTGGGCTACAGTGTCCCACGGTGACTGGCTGGAGGTCGGTGCGTTGCAGCAAGCGCCTCCTGCTGTGCAGGTGGAGGACTGGCCAGCACCTCGCTGCGTGGCTGAGCTGATGTGCGGCTCCCTGCCTCGGATGACTTTTGATGAAGCGTTGCAAGTCATAAGATGGAGGCCTGCCGTGGTTTCAGATGCCCAGCTTCTGAACACTGCGCAGAGGTGGAGCCTGGACTTCCTTGAGGACCATGTGCCGCGTGGGCACGGGGCCTCTCTGTTCTCTGTGTACCGAGCCCGTGAGCCGCAGCGGCGATTCCGCTACGCCGCCCAGCAATCCGACGAGGGCGAGGCGTACCGCTTGGAGGGCTGCGCCGAGCGGCTGCTGCTGGACTTCCAGGATTTTGCGCGGAGGAAGCGCGCAGCGGAAGCGAAGAACGGGGACGGCTTCGCCTACTACTTGTGGGGCGTGGTGCTTCGGCGTGGGGAGGACGGCTACGAGGGCTTCAACTGTGGTCCTGAAGTGGACGAGGACCTGGCAGACGGACACAGCTGGGAGCAGCTTCACCGCCTGCAGGAAGCAGGCCAGTGGGGCAGCTTTGAACAAGCGCAGCTGTTTGTAGGCTGCAGGAATGCATTGACGCCCTGCCACTATGACATGCTTCACAACGCCTATGTTCAAGTCAAGGGGTGGAAACGCTTTCTGTTGATGGACCCTTCTTATTCTTCTGACCTCTACGCCTTTCCGCTGGGACATCCGATGGATCGGTGTGCGCAGGCGGATTTGGAAAGTCCAGATTTCCAGCGCTTTCCCAAGCTCAAAAATGTTCGGGCGGTTGAGGCAGTTCTAGGGCCTGGTGATGTCTTGGTCTTACCCTGCGGGTGGCACCACCACGTCCAATCCCTCACAGAAGACTCGCTGTCAGTGAGCTTCTGGTTCGCGCCCATCCGAGCTCCCATCGAGCCCCTGGGCTCTGTGGAGCGGGTGCTGCTGATGCGCGAGGTCGAGGCAGTGCTGCTGTTGCTCTTTGGGGCCCGTGGCTTGAGGGGAGCCTTCGCCACCTTGCGTGGGATGCTTGAAGGCGAGCTTCAAGATTTGAAGGAGGCGTTGCCATGCGCCTGGCTCTTGTGGCGGCTGCGCTGTGCGCTGGGAAGTTCGGTCTTGGCCCGCGACTTGGTGCGGGCTATGGCGGATGATGCCCGTCTCAGCCAGCTACAGTTTCAGGAGAACATGCGCGGCACGAGTCAAACAATCAAGCCAAACCCAAATGGTATGAGCAACAAATGGATAACGGCAGCGAGAATCACAGACGTTAATCATCAATATTTTTTGAATAAAACCAGTGTCAGAATTTTGTGCATGGCGGTTGTTATTTGCATGAGGAACTGGTGGCATGCTCAGCAACTTTGTGAGTTGATCTCCCCACGCTCCTCGGCCTATTGGATGTTGTGACGCCATTGTTCATCATGCAACGTTCCTTCTAAATTGAGTAGGGGGGGGGGCAGGTCGTGCAATTTATCCATGAATTGGACTCTCAGGCAAGGATGATCCAAGTTTATGGAAGAGATGGGTGCCGAAACCAGAATGTTTCCACCCAGAACATGAGTCTTGACTGTTATTAGCATATGCATTTCGTGGTGCCGTGCATGACAGTGAATCATGGCATTGGCATGAATCTATTTGTACATCTTGGTTGGCAACTTTGCCTTGCACTTGCACAAAATGGCGTCTGCAGGTTTTGCTCGTAGCCTGTTCCCTGTCCCACCTCGGATTTGTTCCCGCCATGCAGTGGATGTTGTATTTGGCCGCGTGCCTTGTGGCGTTGGTGGCTCGCTTCAGCCCAGCAGCTTTTGCCCCAGCAGCCTTCAAAGTGCAGACTCACCAACCGGCGAGTGCTTCAGGCATTGCGGAGACATCCTCCAGCGCCTTTGCTGGCGTCGCTGCGGTCAGCGTGGCTGTGGGTGCGGCAGCAGCAGTCGCCAGCCGAAGCCAGAAAGCCAGCCTGCTGGCCCGTCGCTCCCACGCGGTGAAGATCTACGACACCTGCATTGGCTGCACCCTGTGCGTCCGCGCCTGCCCCACGGACGTCCTGGAGATGGTGCCCGCGACCGTGAACGCGGCCAAGCAGGTGGCATCCTCACCCCGCGTGGAGGATTGCGTTGGGTGCAAGAGGTGCGAAACCGCCTGCCCCACGGACTTCCTCAGCATCCGCGTCTACCTGCAGGACAGCATGTAATCCGATCAACACGTTTCAGAAGGTGTACTTGTTTTGAACAAGTGATTTAACACTGGTTCATTTGTTGGGAAACGCCAGCTCCGGAGTGCCAATCTGCAGGAAAACGAGGAGACGCAGTACAGCTTGGGCCTGGACTTGGCGGATTGGTCCTGAGGGGAGAGCAAAACCGGGCGGCTTTTTTTGAAGCAATATGGAAGCGCCCATGCCCATCATTGGAAAGTTCGTTGGTTCACACTAGCAAATCAAAATTTGGATTTGTTGTCACAATGTTCCTTCAGGAAGGGGCCATGGCGTTTCGGTGGAACTTGGCGCATCAGCTTGTTTTGGTTGGCGATAATTGCACGGCTTTCATATAGTAAGATGATGTGGATAGTGGTTCTAATTTTGCTTGACAAGCTGCGATTGGAAAGCAGTGCATCAGCAGATCTCCGAATCAAAGGCGGTGCATACAGCTAGTTCCGCGAAACCACGCTCAGCAGTCGACGTTTTCACTTCGTGAAGGCAAAACAGTGCGAGCTGCATGTGGTCCGCGTCTGACTTGGATGGACGACATTTTTGTTTCTATCATGCATCCCGATGGAACTCTGCCCTGCTGTGTGACATTGACCAAACCGAGGAGATCTGGTTTCGGCGTTGCCCCGAGACGAAGGCCATGGGCAAACGCCCCATCCATTTTTTTCCTCCTAGAAACACTGGTTTGACACTTGCATGAACACGTCCCAACATCAATATGATGTTGTTTGCTTTGGGTTTTGTGAGACGGTCAGTTGCTAGGAGTTGCATTGTGTAGTTCAAATCGCCGCGTGAACATGGAAAAAAACAACAACATCCGCCACAAAAAGGCCCAGTACGAATGCGGATAGTGCTATGGTATGATTTGAACAAGTCCTGGATTGCATTCAACGCTTCGTTGGCATGAACGTTGGCCTTGCAGGCCGGCACTTCGGTGAGTGCATTTGCCAAAGGAGCAAATCAGAGATAGACATGTCAACATTGGTTCCAACATCACCACGGGCAAGCGAGAAAGCTGCATCGAAGATTCGCAAGTGCATGTTTGCCACATCTCAGACCGTATGGATGCTGATAGGAACTGCGTTGTTGCTTTGCACTACACGTGGTCTCTTCCAAACATGGCGTGTGAGTGCTTTAGAAGGACGCGCCCCAACTGCTTTGTAATTACAAGCTAGTGCCAACGCGATATCAAGCAGTGGTGTTTGCCGGGCAACAACAAAGCAGCAACCGATCCCGCATGTTTTCGGTTTTAATCTTTCTGAAGTACCCAGCGCCAAAATCTACTCACGCAAAGATTGCCTTGGAGGAATGGCACAGTCAGTATCCACTCATAATTTAACACCGTTTGAAGCCTTTTGGCCAAACGGCAACAGTTGGTGACCGTTGTCACCTGGACCGTGGTCAATTTGCGCACGTCGTCCCCTCGCTCAAGCATGGAGTGCGCCGCCGCCACCTCTGTTTGTCGATGTTTGGTAGCTCGCAGTGGCGGCACGTTTCGCCCATTGGTGCGCAAAAGAAACGTTTTACGCACCACAAATGCGTTCCAATGGACCACAGATGCGCAGTATCGTTTCATGGCCGTTCGGCATCCGGCCGTCACTGGTGCGAGCGGCCCGCTGCATGGGCCACGCATGAGGTAGCGACCCCTGGCTTGGGAACTCTTTATGCTGCTGCTTGCTGTGTTTAGCGCAAGTTGCCCAAGGGAACGCAAGCGCTCTTGGACACCGCTCTGCCCTTCTCATATCGCCTGGACTCAACCCGCTCTGTCCTGCTACGTCTGCCGCAAAGGCTGACGGGCCATCAGCTCTTGTCAGCGTGCTTGCTGACGGCGGCGAGCCTTTTGCCGGACGCCGCCGTCTCTGGTGAAAGGCGTTTGCCTGCAGGCTTTTATAAACAGCCGCAAGGACCTCCAGTCTCCGGGGCTGCCCCGAAAAGGTTTTGGTGACGAGGCGGAAATTGGTGGGTGCCAGTGGCTTGCTGGCACGCATCCAGGATACTCCGATGCGGATGTGTCTCGACCTGCTTGCCCAGTAGTGCAGGCGAAGAAACTTGCACAGGAAGAAAAAGGCCCGGAACAAAATCCGGAATGGCGCACGCAAACGAGCACTGCTGGGGCAGCCAGGCGCAGGAACACGTCGCCCCCGTTGGGCGACTGCAGCGTGACGAGCCTCGCGGCAAAATATCGAGCAGCACGTGCAAGCGTTCACATGTGCAGCCATGCGGCCTTGCGGCGGCGCGCAGGTTTGCGACCAAAGACAGGCGCGAACGCCGCAGCTACGCCAGGGTGGCGGCCGTTCTGTGCGCCGCCCGTTGGGTGGGGCAGCCCCCTGCAGCGCTGCGGGGCGAGTGGCGGACGCGCCAGCTGCCAGCAAAACCGTCTCGCGCGCTCACTCAAACCCGCAGCATTGGCGCGCGCCTGGAACAGGAGCCTGTGCGGCACCAGCAGGAAGAACCGGGCAGGAACGCTCAAATATTCTCGCCGCTCCAAGCCGTCTCCCCCTCCGAGCCCTGGCAGGCGCCAAAAAAAAACCGCTGGGTGCTGCCCAAGGGGTTTCGAGGACAGATCTGGCGGCGGAAAAACGCGCGGGAAAAAATAAAAACAAACCTTTTTTTGGGGTAGTGTTTTCCAATTGGAGAAAGCCCTCTCGCCTTCGCCGTGGCTCAGGGCATCTCGGCGCAGTCTCCGGCCCCGCGTTGCAGGCCTTCGGCCGGCATTGCCAAGCGACCGGCCGCGCCGTCTCGGGTCCCACATCATGCGGGCCACGCCGCTGGCCGCGCCATACAGCATTTGCCCAGGCATCTCGGCTCCGCCGCCGCTCGGGCCACACCGCCGGCCACGCAATGCCAGCTCCGCCAGTCTCCAGCTCCGTCTCGTCGCAGGCTTTCGGCCGGCATCGCCAAGCGACCAATCGCGCCATCTCGGCTCCGCCAGCATGCGGGCCACGCCTTCGCCGCGGCTCCGGGCCGCGCTCGCGGTTCAGCATGCATCGGCGTCGCCAGGCCACCGTCTCAATTCCAGGCATCTCGGCTCCGCCGCCGCTCGGGCCACGCCGCCGGCCACGCCACGCCGGCCCAGCCAGTCTCCAGCTCCGCCTCGTCGCAGGCCTGCTGGCCGCGCCATATCGGCTTCGCCGCGGCTGCCGGCTACGCCATGCCGGCTCCGCCAGTCTCCGGCTCCGCTTCGTCGCGGGCCTTCCGTTGGCATCGCCAAGCGGCCGACCGCCCATGACTCGGCCATTCGGTCGACGTTCGCGTTCCCGAGCAGACCTCCCCACCTACTGCTCCGCCCCCCGCAGGCAACCCAGCAGTGCCCGCGCCGGCCCGCGCCTGACGCACACTCAGCAGCCCCCTTGTCATTGCCCCGGATGCCAGGTTGATTTGCTTCAAGTCCTTCAACAACGGTGCTGGGTTTTCCAAAGACGTCCTAAGTTCCTGCGTGGCCCGTTCCGAGCAGTTCTGTCACTTGCCCTGCAAGCCATTCATGCGGCCGGGCCTCAGGATGAACTCGCGCAAACCCGGGCCTGGACTCCTTGGTTGTTGCTGCCCCGTTTGCTTCTGCACCGGCGCCCTGGCACCCACAGCTCATTCTCCAGTCTGCCGCTGCGTGCGTCCCAGCCGCAGCCGACGCTCCGGCCCCAACCGCTCCAGCCAATGATCCCGTGCGTCGCTCGCCTTGTTGCAACTTGTTCTCATGAATTTCTCTCGAGTGCCTAGTCGGACTTGCTGCGCAGCGCAGCTGTGTCTGGACCCCCTTCATATTGCTGCCCCTCGCCAGCCACATCTTTTTACCAAGGGCCGCCACGTTTGGCTCCCTTGTTGCTGTCCTCCTTACAGCCATGAGCAGCGGCTTATGCAGCACTTGGGCGATCTCGAGGGCGGAGCCTGGGAGGGGACCAGTGCCCAACACCCGTAACACACGCCGCGATGGCAGCGTCATGATGGGACTCGGCAAAAGCCAGCGAGTTGCACCTGGGCGAGGCAAGACTGCAAGTCAGGCATCGCAGGGATGCCTTGCGGGAGCTGATCCTGCTTGGCCCGCGTGAGCTGGAGCTGCGTGGCCAGCAAGGCGGGGCTGCCGCAGGGGACGCCGAGGGCAGCCAAACCCTGCTGCTCGGAAGGCAGGGCGCGGTCTCCCACCCACACCGGATCCTCGACTGACCTGAGCTCGCGAACGCCAGGCGGCTCTCGCCCAGATGCGTTCCACAGCCGGGCCTTGCCGCGGAGCCGGGCGCGCGCATGCTGGTGCAAGTGCAAGGACAAATATCATCGGGGTAGGCCAACGGGAGCTCGTGTAGTCGGAGGTGGCGCTGCACCTCGGCGAGGGCCGCGTGCTGACCCAAGGCAGGGATCCCCCTGCTTGGAAGATGTCATGGGCTTTCCCGCCAGCGTCATGCCACACGAACCTGGAAGGGGCAGCGTAAAACTGGCGCACAAAGGGCGCGCAAGCGTTGGCACCAGGAACATTGGACAGTGCCTGCAACATGGCTTGGCGGCTGATAAAGGCAAAACTCAGAAGTGTAGCCAGTAGGGTCTTCTGCAGTTTTTTTCCTGGCCCGCCGCAAATTGCTAAGGGCAGTGGACGCCGTTAGCGCGACGGGGGGGGCAGGCTCAAAAGGATCGATGGGCTCGTACAGGGATTTGACAAAGTCGTGCCTCCGTTTGAGGCATTGCTTAAATTCCATGGGGGAGAGGGCTTCGAAGAAGTCGTGCCTCTTTCCAAAACGCATAGGAACTCTGCATGTTTGAAGGGCTAGGCTTTTGGGAGGCATTGCAGTTGAAAATTGTTATTCCGTGGGGTTTAGGATGGTTTAGGCATGTTCTATCTTATCCGCCTAGGAACGTTTACAGTGTGTTTCGCAATCTTGAGACTTGACGTTTCTTTTGCTACAGCTGGTTCGAGTTGGCACCTTGCTTTTCCTCTCACCTGGACTAACCTGGCGTGTTTGCAGGGCTGAGCGGGTGGGCTTGAGGGGGTGCTTATTATTTGGCTGGCGCCTGTGCAGCGCTGAGCCGGTGTGCTTGAGCGGGGGTGCTTACCATTTGGCTGGCGTGTGTGCGCAGGGCCTTGCAGGCGCGCTTGAGCGGCTGGCGTTCGCAGGTGCGAAATTGAGTCGAAAAGTGGGTGCGGAAGTGGGTTGATGGGAGCGGGTGCAGAAGTGAGTGAACTTGGCGCGGGTTCGGCACACGTGGGCCCAAAATATCCCAAAATCTTCAACGGACGATCGGCGATCTCGTTTTGATCTCGTTTTGATCTCGTTTTGATCTCGTTTTTTTGCCAGGGTGCATTGCATATGTGCCTGCCTGCCTTCCAGAGAAAGAACTCCAGGACGTGGAAAAACACGGTGCAAGAGCCTGCAAAGCCCATCCATTGTGTCACGTCTTACTAAACTCTCCTGCAACAACCTATCGTATGCTTGGCGTTCCATTGGTTTTCATGTTCCTGCAGACGCCTCGCGGGGCTGGAAAACATGCTTTGCCATCAGTAGCGTTCCATTGTGTTTCAGTGTTGACACCTGTCTTTTTGTAGCATGACCAGCTTGGTGATGTCAAGCGTTCCATGGGGATTGTTGCCGAGGCGTGACTTAGGAGTGACTTCTTGGAATCGGCGTTTACATGGGGGAACACATGGCCACACAGATAAAGGAGTGACTTAGGCATGACTTTGTCGTTTGCCTGTAACGTTGGTCGGGTCGGGGGGCGGGGTCCCGCAATTCCGCTAGGGTAGCTGGCGTAAGCGGAGCCAACGGCCCAGAAACTAGAGCGGCACTGGCGGTGGAATGGCCGACTAGCCGAAAAAACCCGCTCGGAACTCACACAAAACTTACGTACAATGACACCGGCACCTCCTGTGCAATCCGAACGGTGACAACTACCGTCCAAGTAAGCTACAAAGGCGGTCGCCCGCCAGGGCATTGCGCGCAATCGAAGAGATCGCCAGCGCGAATGACCTGTGTGGCAAGAACATAAATGCGCACTTGGCCACACTCGCACACTCGAGCCTCAAGTAATACATGATGCGCGCCATGACGACAGTGGGCGGCCTCAACTTGCGCTCTGGAGTTACTGGGCTTCGTGGGCGGACACCCTTGCCAGGCTCCACGCCCAGGAGCCTTCTCAGCCCGCGCTGCTGGGCATAAGGCGGGTTTAGCGCCGCCATCTTGTGCGGGGCTGGCCAGCTCCCGCTGCAGCTGCCATCTGGACGATCACCGAGCAGCCTGCGCTAGGTCTGCTTTGCGGAGTCGTGGATGCCCGCTCGAAAGGGCCGCCGCTAGCTGGTGGTGTGGCCCGTTCTTTGCGAGACCCTGCCCGGCCCGGCGTTGCAAAGAATCCACCCCGAACTTGTTGCGCAACGCCCGTTGCCGCCTCGTCGTCCTCGGTGTTGAGGTCGGGGGCCGCTGGAGCACGAGATGCATCGAGGCAGCGGATTTTCCGCGCTTGCTTGCCCAGGCCAAGGCACGTGCGGCGCCTGCCGTGTTGCGGCTTGCTTTGCGCAACGCCTATGTGCACTGATGGTCGGGTTTGCTTTCGGCAGCTGCGTCCACCGCCTTTGCCGAGAGCCTGACTTGTTTGCTGTCGCCTGGCCTCAGCACCTTGACGCGCCAGACGTGTCCCGCTTGCTGGCGCGGTAGTGCCCTGCACGAGGGGAGCTGGCCCCCGCAACAAAGTATCCTTTTTGCAGGGGGGGGGGGGCTCTAGTGCACGGGCCCCTTAAGCACCGACGAGATGAGACTGCAGGTGCAAAAAGGCGTGAGAAAAAGAGCGCATCCAATAGATAGTCGCAAACCGTTTGAGCTTCCTGTCTTGCGACCCGAACGCGGATTCCAACATAAATCTAAGAACCCCTTCCTGTCGGGTGGGGAACAAGTTTTGTGCCAGGAGGGGAACGCCTAATCAGGGCCAGAGCCGCTAAGTGAGCGGCCGTCTACCGTGGCGGGAGCGTGCGATGCTTCTACACCAAGCCCCGACCCAGTATCCCGCCAGAGCTGCTCGCCAGTCCCGCCAGAAGTTTGCTCGGCAGTGTGTCGGATCCCGCCAAGTATCCCGCCAGAGCAGCTGGCCAGTGGTGTGCAGCCCGCCAGTGGATCCCGTCGAGTATCCGGCTGAGTATCCCGGAGTAGCTCGCCAGTCAATCCCGCCGAGTATCTTGCCAGACAAGCCGGAGCAGCTTGCTGCCAGTGGATCCTGCCAGTATCCCGCCAGAGCAGCTCGCCAGCCTGCTTTTGCTTAATGGGCCCGCCCGGCGCACAGTTGGGTTTACGTTTCATGCACACGTTACAACAAATGACAACACACTTGCGCAACCAGCTTGTAAACTCGCGTTTGGCAAAGGTCGATTGCTTGCAAAAACAACAACAAACATATTTTGCTTCGAGCAGTCCCCACCCTCCACACTCACGAGTTTACGACCGTGAGCACGTTTGTGTGAATTCAAGAATAGTTTTCGAGTGGCTTGGGGCTTATGACTGTTCAATGAGAGCCTTATCCACCTGTTTGTGTGTCAAACTCCACTTGTCTGCGGGCCGATGGCCAGGCCTTGTTGGAGATCGCGTCGGCGGAAGAATCAAATGTGGACGCACTAGTTCGCGGCAATTCTATGATCTCCGCAGAGGAGGCTGGAAAATGTTTCGAGTTGGCGTGGTCAACAAGGACAGCGTGTAAATGTAGACCCCAACTTGGCGGCGGGTGCAGTTGGCCGTGCAAGTCGATTTGACTGGTGGCACCGCGCAGCAGTTGTTCAACTCAGGTGGAATCCTTTTGGCGGGACTTTATCACAGCGGCAAAGCCATCACATGGTGATTGGAAGACCATCGTTGCTCGTGGCCGTGCGTGCGCAGCTGCTTGGAGAGTAGTTGCCAAATTTTGATTCAATATCGCTCCGCAATTGACATGAAGGGGTGATGACAGCAACAAAAGGATGCAACAAAGTGATCAGGTGATCAGGTCATCAAACGATCAGTGGATCAGAGCGAGGATGGGGAGCGTTAATGCCAAGGCGCGCTTCTCGAGAGAGAAGCTTGCGATGTATGAGCGGATCATGGCACGCTATGTTCAGGGCTTAGGGGTGGGTGGGTGGGTGGGTGGGTGGGTGGGTGGGTGGGTGGGTGGGTGGGTGAGTGGATAGATGAGTGGATGGACGAGTGGCACCTGCCAAGCCAGCTGAGGTCTTGCTTCTGCGCAGCAGGGTCACGCGAGATGTTATCAACGAGATTGGTTTGTCTTGTCTTTTTGGCGCTGTCCTTACGTGTTTGCATCGCAGAAAGTCTGCCAGTGGAACACTTCGTGTCTTGAGGCAACTGGAAATTGCATTTGCTGGTGCACGACGTGATCTCGGAAGGCAGGATATATCATTAATTATGTTGGCTGAAGAGGTCATCGAGAGCCAAGGCAAAGACGCATACCTAGCTGCGTGGAAGCGGCCTGCTTGCAATATTGAATCCTCAGACGCTCTTCGTCATTGCTTGTATTTCTTCGGGGATGCTTGTCCGTGAGCTTCTCTGAAACCTAAGCTGAGGGATCCGCACGTGTTGGTGACGAGGGCCAAGCAGCTTGCCATCCAAGGGTTCCAGTCATATGCTCCAAGCTTGTTCAGTTGGGCACGGGTGCATGAAGTTGATATGCGTCATGTTGTCATTTTGACTGCCCTTTCAAACGGCACTCAAGGAACAAATAGTTCGCAACATGATGGGCTGAACAACCTCATAGTTGCTTGCCATTGTTTTTTAATTCATATTCCGCGTATCACGTGCAGGCTGACGCATTGTCGGGGTTTCAAGTGACAGTCTTCAAAGGCAAACTGCTTCACAAAGTAGGCTGTGTTTGTGCCATGTTGTATCATGTATGCTTTGCTACTCGAGCTCAGGCAGATAGACGAGGCCCGCTTGCTGGATTTGATTGGGATTCTACGACTAGATGACCTGCCGCTGGGTGCACTATCCGCTGGGTGCACTATCGAAGTAGCTCAACGGTGGTGATTCTGTGTTTTCAGGAGGGGCGGCTGGCACCATACACGCAATTGTTGCAATCCCAGGCTGTTCGAAGACCTAAAGTTCCACTACATGATCAGCCTCAAGCACAGACCCGACAGGGAAGGATTCATCACACGCGCAGTCGACTCTTGCTCTCAAACACTCATACAATGGCTTTTGTTGGTTCAGAAGGCCGGCTTTGTGCTTCATTAGTTCTGTGCTCAGCTACACTCAGGAGATGGACAAGGGAGGCTTTTACTCCATGCTGCAATTCATTTTGAAAGAACCCCCCATTGCTGACCTATGGCTGCCCAAGGCTGGCATAGCTTTTCTTGAAGCATCTGACGAACTGCTGCAGCGTTTGGGGCCTGGTTAGGCGCGGCTCTTGGACTCTGGCGCCTGGGTCGTGGAAGGCTATGAGGCGGGCTCTTCCGCGTGCCGGCTGTTCCGTCAGTTGCAATAGGCGGCTGGGGAATCGGTTGCTGAATCGCGCAGGTTCGAAGCACGCATCTTGATCTTGGTGCTTCCCAGGATCAGCCGAAGGGGAACCCGCTGGCCGAACCCATGCTCAAGTGACGCCTGCTGCGCACATGCCGCGGCTGGTGAGGTGTTTGGCGCGCCGAATTATAATGTGAGACACGGGCAAGGCACCGGCCTCACTCAACGAAGGTGAAGATCTCCCTCCGCATCCGGGAAGATCCGCGACATTTTTTGGCGTTAGTTTTGAGGGTGAGCTTAACGTGGCACACGCTGTTTTGCGAGCTTTGTGCCCAGACCAGACGTAATGCTTTATAATGAGGACCATTTAGCAGGTGCTTGCAGGCCGGTTAGCTCGTCAGGCTTTTGGCTCGAGGAGCCTTGGGCTCAACACGTGCAAGTCACAACATCACTGGGCCGTTGGCCAACATGGCCAACATGGCCAACATGGCTAACAGTGTGACCTGCTAGGTTGGACGGGGGTGGCGCAGCACTCGTGGCCAATCTGGCCGGAGCATTCGAAAACGACTTGCTTCTTGTGAAAATTCGAGTCTTCGAGCCATGGCCCGCGCTTTCGCAGACTGCCAGGAGAGGGCAGGGAGTAGCTTGGGAGCTGGGAATGCCGACGCCAGCAAGGGAGCTGGGGAAGTGGCCAGGAGCCGGCAGAGTTCAGATCTGTGGCGGGCATGTCGGGGGCTGATCACAACCAAATATCGTCACTGCAAATTGCGGGGCGCCAGGCGTGCAGACCTAGCTGTTGCCCGCAGCTTGCTGAGCAGAGGTTGGCAGGCCGGATGAGTGATGTATTGTCCACAGACCAGGATAAATCACATTTGGTCTTGCTTTTTGAAGGGAGCGAGCGATGCGCGATTTGCAGGATCCCACGACATCCATCAGGCAAAACATAAATAACGCCATCACGATTGAACCCCTCTCAGGTGTTCCATGGTCACAGCCAAAGGTTGCTGGGGACCGTCCACGAGGCGGCAGCTGTGCCTGGCTGCATGCCGACTCGTGGAGCTTTTTTTGGCATGCAGGCTGAGCATGGCAGCGACATAATGCAGGCCAGCTGAGGCAGAAAGCTATTTTTATTTCCGCGGTGTACGTACGATTGTGTGAGATGCTTTGCGCAGCCCTCACAGGTTCAGGTGCTTGCAGGTGCCACTTTTGAGTTTTGAGGGGTCTGATTCTTGCGCTCCTTGGCATAATGAGCCACATGTGGACACAGCCAGGGGGCAAGTTTGGGAGTGAACCGGAGGAGAGTGTGGAAGCTCGCATTCTGCGACATGCACAAGAAGGCATTGCGGCTGGGAAGATTATCCAATGCTAAGTCCCTCCACCTCATGCTTCAGAAGTCCAATTTTCCACATGCCTCGGGGAGCAAGCGCCTGTAGGGAAGTGCGCCTGGGACTCCCTGCTAGGCCAGCTGCGGCGTGCAGCTGATCAGCAGAAGCGCATGGCAGAGCTGGAGATTGCGAGCTGCCCAGCTGGGAAGGTTTTATCTGTCAGGGATCAGGGAAACAATGTTGATTTCATGGGGAACAGGTTTATTGCAGAGCGATCCACCAACACTTTGCCAGCCGACGCCAAGCACAAGCGATGGAAGCACGCAAGAATCAGGGCTTGCGCTTTGTTGGGATGGGCCATCCATTTTGGTTCATTTTTGGAGGCTCGGCGCCTTTTTTTTTGTTTGCTTCATTTCACCCTGCTTAAACTGGAAGCATGTTCATCAGGGAAAGAAGAAGGCCCATGTCGTTTTCTGATTTTGGGGCCACCCTACACCACGCGCACCGTGCGCCTCTGGTCTCCAGGCGCAGCTGGAGCTCCGCGCGGATCAGGCGGAGGCGGAAGCCGCCCTGCGCGCGGCATTGGTGAAGGCAGCATGAAAGCCAGCCGTCGAATGTTACGGTTTAACGTTTATGCACTTATACGAAAACACCATGGCACGGCTGGAAGCACTAGGTGGCGCGCCCGCCTGTTTTTTTTTTTTTTTTTTTGGTGTAGGGAGGGACATGCTTGTTGGCAGAGATCTGCCATGAGGGGTCTTTCTGTTGGGCGGCAGGGCCTTGTGATCAGCTTGAGGTTTGTCGCAAGCGTCGAGGTACAGCCACCAGCAATACCAACATCCAGCCTGAGTGAGCCTGTGCGTCAACCAGATCGCGAAGAAGTCCTTTGCTATGAGCCTCAGATGGGACAGCGAGCCAGGAAGATAGAGACAGTTTATGACTTTGCAGCTAAGCTGCCCCTTCCGAAATTCAGCCAGCCCAAGGAAAGATACCGCATGATGCATGAGGATTCCGCGCGGGAGGCAGGGAGAGGCCGGGAGAGGCTGGGCGCGTTGGCTTCGCGCGAGGCGGCTCTTGGCAGCTGCTGCCTGGAGGCGCTCGAGACACGCGGACGCCTGGAGAGGCGCCGGGAATGCGATTTGGAGCTTGGGCCCACGAGTCCACAAATGGGTATGGGTCAAAACGACCAGGGGGCCGCAGGTTTTAGTCATTGGTTCCATTTACCAGGGTTCCGATTTTGGGTACCGCTCTATTTGACCCACAGCCAAATAGATTCTGGGAAAACTGGTTTACTAGTGGTCAACTGTTGGCTTCGTAGGGGTTTTGGTGGTGTTCAGGCTTTGTCCCAATGAACACCCACCTATGAGAAAAGGCTCGTGACTAGGCGCATTCGGTTTCGTGACAGCTTTTGCAGCCTTGGGCAAACATGTTTTTTGGACCTCTATTGCTGGAAGGAGGCATGAGTGCAGTTCCGTTTGAAAGTTTGGTTGAGCCCTGTTTGCGTGCGATTCCCGCCCATGTTACACAGACTTCGTGTCAGGTTTTTGGTGCGTGCTGTCCGCCAGAAGCTGCCGCCAGTTTGCAAGGACGGGGGCTGCACTGTGACCATTGCTGCCCCGAGTTGCTGCTTGGTGGCAGGACTTAACTGCCGCATGCTTTGAAATCCTCACGGAGGACTTGATCCAAAGTTCGCCTTTCGTTGGCCACTTGCAATGGGGCAGGATGGCCCTTGGCGGCTGGTCGTCTCGGAAATCGCGGAGGTGCACGACATCTCAGAGGAGCGGACTTCCAACGGGTGTTGCAGATGGCTGGCTGTCCAAGTCAGCGTGCGCAAAGCAACGCAGGAGCTGCGACGGTCCAATGATGCGCTAGCCATGCCGCGCGCTCGCTGCCAGGCACAATTTCCAGCCCAAGACCCGTAGGAAAAGCACAGCAAGCAAGGGCTTCGTTTTTTCCGGACTTTGGACATTGAGTTTGTCACTCTGAATGGCTTGCTGAGTGCTTGTGGCATTGTCAGGAGGCGTGGCCCTTTCAAGAAAGACGTCCCTTCCAGGCTGGGAAGTCAGAAGCGCACGGATTCCGAGCGAGGCGTTGGGACGGCTGTCGCGTTGCGTTGGGAACCTCAGGAGCGCCGGCCGCAAGGCGCTGGATGGGATGGGTGCTGGGGATGGGATGTGCTGGGCGTGCCTTGGGCTCAAGGTGCATGCTGCGAGGAGCTGGACGCCGTTCTAGCGTTGAAAAAGTGCGGACGGGGCGCTGGGACGTTGGGCCGGCGTGCGTCTTGCTTGTATTTTTTGTGTTTCAGGCGGGATAGATCCATGGGATAGATCCATGGAATTGAGCATATTTCTCAGTGGCAAGTGCAACTTTGTGAGTTTGCGTTGCCAGTGCGGCTTTCCGAGCGTGAAAGCACGGCAAACACCCAATGGCGGAAGACGTCAATCATGCGAATCATTGTAAGTTGCCAGAGCCTCAGCCTGAATTGTCCCCGTGTGGTTGATGGATTCCGCCCAGATAGGTTTCATACGGGTCGCTTGGGGTGCTGGCATTTTGGCTAGGGCAAGCTAGTCTCGTAGGGCGTGTGGCACGTTGCCCTTTGCCAACAAGCGATTTGCAAGCCAACTAATCAAAGCACTTCCCTTTTGCATGCCCTTGAGGTCGCTCTGATTCTTGTTGTGGGCAAACCCCCATGGCCTGCTGGGCCTCAGAGATTTGGAGTTTCGTGGACTAAGTGACATGGCCGAGCTTGCATCGCACACGGCGTCCAGACGGGAGTGTCCAGTAACGTTTTGGCTAGGCAAGTTGCACGGGAGGGCAAAATAAATCGCCGTGAGGGCGCTCGACACCTGATTCAGGGCTCGGTGAAGACAACAACGCCATGCTTGCCTGCAGGCAAGCATGTCAGTACGGTGCAATCAGGCGAGTTCTGGGCGCGTGGGTTACCTTCCTGCAATTTGCGCGCTGCCAGCAAAGCTTGCCAAGTGTATGGTAGTTGCCTTGATTTGATTCCAGCAAGATGTATCAACATGCTCCAACACATCAGTGCAACACCAGCACCGACAGCAACAGAAGCAACGCCTACCTGTGCGAGCAGCGGTCAGCTCCAGACTTGGATCCAAGTCAGCTGCCAGCCTTTTAGCTGACATGCTGGCAGCTTTGCTGTGCACCTCGGCGGGTCATTTGAAGTATCTTCAAAACCGTCATTTGCTTCCTGTAGGATTTTTGTCATGCACGTGTTGCTATGCTTTCTCGGAAAAATGAGAGAGAAAGATACGGGACGTCCAAGAAAACGATAACCCCAGGCCTGCGAACAAGCCATCAACATCGACACGGGATGTTCTATTTTTTTTGATGTTCAGTCTCTTGCGGGTAGGGGTGCCGCTATCAGCAAATGGATGTCACCTAAAAGCTGCAGACCCCAGGCCTTTCCGGACGGCCCCACTTCTCCAGGTCAAGATAGCCGCAGCACCGATAAGTCCTTCTCGGAGCATTGAATGACGTGCGCAAGCCTGCTACATAAGCTTGGGGCATCCCAAAGTGGCCTAGACGGGCATCCCGGGCATTCATTTTGCTGGGCATTCGTTTCGCCAGAGGCGCCGCAAAAAAAAGGGGGAGCAAACTCGAGGCAACCGCAAACTGGCCAGCAGGGCCCATCCGGGGCTAAGGCCTGCCGCTGGCGCTGGCGGTTGAGCCAGGCACTGGGGACTTTGAGCCCTGGCTGCGGCAGCTTTGGGAGAAGCCCCGGACGCAGGCAGGGTCGCCCTCGAACCTGGTCACCCTCTAAGTTCCGCATTTCAGAGCTCGTAGGGATGTCCAAGAAGCCTAAGCTCAAGGGTGGTGCGATACATGTTGCCATCTTGGCCCGAGCTGTTTTCGGACTGGGCCGATTGCTGAAGTGCACATAAGTCATCATGACTCATGACAGTCGCTTTGGCTGGATCAGTTTTTGCAGTGAGGGTTAGGGCCTTGGCCCTGGTGTAAGCCGGGAGGCGCTGGACCTCCGCGTGGCCAAGGCGGGATTTGGGGCCTTGGCGTTTCTGGCGGCTCTGGCCGGCACGGTCGACGCTGGCAGGGATTGGGGGCGAAAGGCTACGAGAAGGCCCGGGTTTCGGTGGTGGCGCCGAAGTTGCTGAGCTTCCCGGACTTTAACTTCACATACAGAAAGCAGCCTGGAAGCAGCAACCATGTCAACTGTGAAGTTTGTTTGGTCACTTGATGTGCATTGGCTCTAGCCACCTGGCACCATGCATCTTAATTGGCCTCCCAGGCAGTTTCGCTACAGATGGACTGACAATTATTTGCACAGTTCTCTCATCGACCTGCAGCCGGGGAAGAACACTCTGACCATTGCTGGCCAATCCATTCAGGCGCCGACTGGGAAGGCTTTTTCGCTTACTCAGAGAGAGTAGATGAAATCTGACCGTGCCGAAGATGGTCCTAGCTTGGCACAGTGCGTCATGTGCCCCGGCTGAGGTGGACTTGCCGGCGGAGACGGAGGGCATCCGGGCCGTTTTCTGGTCAGACCCTTGTTTCTCTTCCAAGTGGATCCACTGCGCGCGGGGCCCAGAGCTGAGGCATCTTTTGTTTCTCCTTTTTCTTCTGACGTTGCCAGCTCCGCAGGCTTATGCCGACAAGTTCCAGACATTCCCGCGCTCCATCGCCATGCTCAACGCTATCTATGCCGTAGCCCGGCAGGCAAGATGTTGAACCCACTCTTGTTTTCTCTTGCAATCTTGCTGGAAGAACACTTCACTGTGAAAACATGGCAGAGGTCAAGCTCGCACGCTCGTTGCCAGACAACTCGAGCGAGAGCACTGACTGAGAGCGCACCTTGTCTTGGAAGCGTGTGCTAGCTTGTTTGTCTTCAGCCCAGGACCCGAGCATGGACATGTTTGCCATTCTGGGGGACAACTTCTACGATCAAACCGGGGAGTTGGCCAAGACCATTTTCGATCAGCTCTCGCCTGATGTGAAACGCCGCTTCCTGTTTGTTGTCCGGGCCTCGGCCTCCGCAACCTGCTGGCTGTGGGTCAAAACCAATGGTACCATTTTGGGGTAGGTGCACCACCAATATCAGTGACTTTTGGGGGGGGGGGGATTGGGATGTTCACTGGGGGTACGATTTGGGTTTTGACCCATGGCCTGCTGATTCCGCACTTCTGGTAGCAGGTTTGCTTGCGTTGCCCTCAGGTCAACGGCAATCACGACAACTGGGTGTGCGGCTCGCCGGGCTGCGGAGACATGGCGGACAACTTCGGGATCGGGCAGATGCAGCGCCTTCGCAGAGGAAAACGCGCAAATCACATGCCACCCTTGAATGGCCGCATGCCATTCACCGGAGCTTCAGGTACTACACATCGGACCCTGTGGCCTCCAACATGTGGCTTCAAAACGACGAAGACTTCATGGACTTCTCCATCGATCCAGAAGTCAGGCCGAGCGAAGCATTATGTTGATTCCATGTTTTTGCACTCGGGTGAGCTGTCCACAAGTTCGACGGATGCAGGAAGGACTACAAGACGTGGCAGAACGTTGGCACAAACTTTTTGGCAGCTTGGCACTCGAGGAGGTGGCCTTGAAGTGCAGAGTTCGTCATGTTTGTGGCCAATTGTGGCCAGCCATGTTTGTGGCCAACATCGAAGCGATCATATGCAGCATATGCATGTAGTAGCTCTAGCTCCAAAATCCTGACAATTCACACCTGGAGCACAGGGGCCCGGGAATGTTTCGTTGTGCAGCCCATTTGGATGCCTTGAGGTGTACCACAAGTTGGGAAACATCGGATTTCTGGGCTTCTCTGGTGCAGCTCTCTTCAGCGACATGCTGCCCTACTTCAGCGAGGCCTGAAGAGCGGGTAGGCCCGGGTAGGCGCACATGCGACTGATTCTGAGCTTATGTCGGTAAGAGTTGCTACTTGCAGTGTTATTGAATGGATGCGCATGCTCAGCAACAGCACAGGCCTGCGACTACTTTGAGCGCGAGCAGCCGGCAGTAGTGCTGCTCGGCGAACTTTGGGTGTTTTTTCTCGGCTTATGGATTCTGCTGTAGTCGGCCTTGAGCTTCTTGGCTTGTCAGCCTTGGGCTTGAGGTTCCTGCTGGGGCACTGGAATTCGAAGGGCATGGGCTGCGGCACGGGCATGTCGGTGCCAGCTGTGCGGAAAGTAGCTTGACTGATCTGTTTGAATGTTCCAGTACTTGGGTTGAGGGGTGGCACGCGGCATTCCTTGCAAGGAGTTGTTGGCTCTCACCTCGTGCAGTACGTTGGGCAACCGCTTGAAGTACATGGATGGCCACGAGCATTGCAATTATGCCCGGGCGCCCAGCGAGGCTTTTTCTGCGCGCTTCCTATTCAAATGGGCCAGGTGCAGGACAACAAGACCGAGCCCGTGGGCTTCATGATCGGCGCCCACGGGATGGACGACTCCGCCTGCGAGGAGACTCCGCTCACATCTGAGGGTTTCGGAGTTTGTGGCTGACGAGAGGCCCAGTATGGCTTCCTGTACCTCGACAGCACGGATGCCCGGGTGAGGCGCGCCCGTGATGTCCGAGCTCATCTCAAGGGTGATGCCTGTGCACAGCCAAATCCGACAGAAGAGAATTTCAGAGCAAGTACGAGAGGGAGAGGGAGAGGGAGAGAGAGCGAGACAGATCGCGCCGCTTGCAGGCTTTACTACTTCGAGGCATGACTTGCATTTCATGTAGCAAGGAAATGCAGCAGCATCAGCGTGGCACCTGTTCGTTCATGATGGGCTCTTAAAGCTTTCCTTCGACTACTTCTGCGTTTGCTGTTGGGCAGGTCCAGTCAGAGTCTGGCGGCGACAAGTATGACGACCTGCTGAAGTGCGTCTCGACAGGAGGAGCGAGCCAGCAAAAGGCCGCAAGGTACAGGGAAACTGCGCAGTGCCTTAAGCCAGCAGGCCAACTTAGGATAACTGTCTGAGCCCTTTTGCACCAAGCCAAGCAGAGCGCATGAGACCCTTGTGCTAGGGGGGGCTGCTGTAAACTCCTGGCCCTCGCTTCGGCATTTCGCCAGGACTCAGCGCATGCACCAGCATGGCGCAGAAGTGGCTGGATGTGCCAGCTACCAGGCTGCAGTTCGGCTCAGGCTCCCATACACCAATGCGGTCTTCCATTCGAGCAATATGAAGTCATGTTTTCAAGGCCCGGCAAAGGATACACAGATCGACCACTTGCCTCCCGAGCAACACCTTCCAGGTTGATTGCTTCGGTCCGAGGCCGAGCCAGGAACATCCCCGGTGGTGCGTAGCAACGTGCAATGGGTGCCTAGGCGGCACCTTCTGCGATTTTTCGGATCAGGAAGGCGGCGATTTTTGTTGTTGTGCTTCCCGTTTTCCAAGTAGACTCCAGAAAAACATGGGGTGGTTCAAGGGGGCGGCTTTTTGCACATGTTTTTTTTGGGGGGAGTCGATTCCCGCGCTAGCCAAGGTTTGATGCAGTTTCTCTTGCCGAGTTGCGGCAAGAGGGGCACTTTTCGCAGCATGGCGTTCACATCGCCAGGGTGAGCCTTCGGAAAATGTACTCGAGGTGCAGCGTTTGAACAATATGCTGCAACCGGGTCCGCACAGCCAGTGGCAATGTTGGCAGGGCACCATTCGCCACACTGCACAGCAAGAAAGCACCTGCTAGTTGGGTTCAGGCTTTGGAATGCACAGCGGGCCGGTTGTAGAGTGAGCCTGTTTGTTGGACGGGCGTTTCTGGGCGAAAAAGCTGCAGCGAGAAGAGTGCCCACCGAACTCCTCGTTGGTGTGAAAAATGCATGTTGCGCACCGACTCCGCGCGCCTGACGACATGTTCAGTTCAACGAGTTGGCAGGGGCAACGATGGCAAGTTGCTACTTTCTGCTTGGGTAGTTAGGGGAAACATGCTTTCAGTTTCCGTGAGCTTAAACACCTGGCAGGCTGCAAGGATGACAAGAAGCTTCGACTTTGGTAGTGGTTGCCAATAGGCATACCGTTCAGTTCAGGCGTCTCTCATTTTACTCAGCACGAATCTAGCGCTCACTATGCTCCACTTTTGTTGGTCAGATTTTGGTGGCCGTTCAGTTTCCTGGCTTGAGCATGAGCAGTGTCCGAGCTTGTTTGGGGAACTAGCCATGGCCATGTGAAGCGCATGCCACGGCTTTTTCCCAAGACCTTGGCGCCAAAATTTAGGAGCTTGATTTGGAGAAAGCTGCGCCGCTTTTTCATGGACACCCGGGGATGGTTAATGTTTGGGCACATCAATGTTTTAAGCTTGCAGAGCTAGAGGAGCCTAAAGCAATGTACATGTGACGTCCGGCCTGTCCATGAGTACCCCGCCAGATTTTGGACAAACCTACCTGACGCATCAACCTACCTGACGCATCATGTCAGAACCAAAGAACTCAGCTACAAACACTGGCAGATTGCCGCAGGAAAGAGTCTTGAGGGAAGTAACGATGCCATTTTGTTTTCCCTGCAGCTCGCACCCAGGGAGTTGGCGTACACGCACACACGTCCACACACACACATTAACACACCCACACGGTTTCCTTTGACTTGCGTTCTGCGACGCGTTTCCTTTGCCCTTGTGTAAGTGTGCTGGACAAGGCCGAAAAAAAACAGATCACCGAAGTTATACGCAGAACCTCGCCATGGCGGCGGATCTCCGCAATCATGAGTTCCGGGTCATGCGCACCGCGCAGGCTGCCTGGGCTTCGCAAGCTGATAGTAAAGGCATGATCACGTCAACCCTCAATGTGCCAAACCTTTGACTGTGGGCTGTTCCCCTGAATTCTGCAAAGGCTCCAGTGATTTCATTCATCAGCCCTGTCAATGCGTAGCATTGGTAGGTTTGTTGGCCCAGTGGCCCAGGCATTGACGCCGCCCTTCAAACATCCCAAGCGCATCATGGGGTATTTTGGCCCTGACATTTGTTCGACAACTTGCAACTTGTGTCAGCCTGGTGTGTTGTGGAACCTTCTGAGCCGGTCAGTTTCTGAGGAGTGCGCCTGCAAAGGTGCGCTCGACATACGACCCTGCTAGCCGTCTCTGCGTCAAGTTGCGGACCGTGCAGGACGAACCTGAGTTTCGGGGCAGCTGGGGCATGTTGCAATGCAACTTTGGAATGGGCTGATGGTGGAGCAAAGCACCCTGCCAGCGTCAGGAGGGCAATAGCGTCAAAGCGATAGCTGCCGCTTACCGGCGGCCAGATGGTGGCCTTTGTGTGCCCATCGACCCGCGAGGCCGGGCCGATTTCCGCTTCCACCGGAAGGCACATGAAGGCACTATTTGCGCCATGATTGGCATGTCATGCAAACCGCTGTGGGTTTGACCAGGTTTTATCGATGCCGAATTCCTGGAGAATTTTCCGTGGCCAGGCCTTCCGCTCATTTTGCAGAGCCCGCTTTGTGGAGTTGTGGGGGTTGTCAGCCCCATGCCACATGCCCCGTCCGTCAGCGCAGGATCAGACGGAGCCGCGCAGGTGAGCACAGCATTGCGAGGGCTGGGACGAGCCAAGCTCTGGGAGCTTTCTGTTTAGCCAGGGTTGGCTCAAATGCTAACAAGTATCCTTTGTGTGGGTAGCAAGTAGGTTGTGGTTGTGGTTGTGGTTGTGGTTGTGGTTGTGGTTGTGGTTGTGGTTGTGGTTGTGGTTGTGGTTGTGGTTGTGGTTGTGGTTGTGGTTGTGGTTGTGGTTGTGGTTGTGGTTGTGGTTGTGGTTGTGGTTGTGGTTGTTTGTTTGTGGTTGTTGTTGTTGTTGTTGTTGTTGTTGTTGTTGTTGTTGTTGTTGTTGTTGTTGTTGTTGTTGTTGTTGTTGTTGTTGTTGTTGTTGTTGTTGTTGTTGTTGGTGTTGTTGTTGTTGTTGTGTTGTTGTTGTTGTTGTTGTTGTTGTTGTTGTTGTTGTTGTTGTTGTTGTTGTTGTTGTTGTTGTTGTTGTTGTTGTTGTTGTTGTTGTTGGTGTTGTTGGTGTTGTTGGTGTTGTTGGTGTTGTTGTTGTTGGTGTTGTTGGTGTTGTTGTGTTGTTGGTGTTGTTGGTGTTGTTGGTGTTGTTGGTGTTGTTGGTGTTGTTGGTGTTGTTGGTGTTGTTGGTGTTGTTGGTGTTGTTGGTGTTGTTGGTGTTGTTGGTGTTGTTGGTGTTGTTGGTGTGTTGTGGTGTTGTGTGTTGTTGGTGTTGTTGGTGTTGTTGGTGTTGTTGGTGTTGTTGGTGTTGTTGGTGTTGTTGGTGCTGTTGGTGCTGTTGGTGTTGTTGGTGTTGTTGGTGTTTATAAAACAGGTTAAACAACCAGGAAGAGTTAGCTATGTACTCAATCCGCGGTGCGCCTTTTTCTTGAGCCAGGCGCAGTCGGTGCAACAAGACTGCGCTAGTGAGACACTCATGCATTAGGGTTTAACATGGTTGATAAATACATCACGTTGCAAACTACACCCCGCGTGCCCGAATGTGAAACAGGAGGACAAATGAAAGGGATGAAACAACCAAAGAAACCCGAGAGGCATGAGGCCATTTTGCAGGACATAAGCACTTGAATACGAACGACTGCCAGTTAAGGTCTTCCGCCTCTACCGGCCATCGCTCTCGCGAGGCGTGCCCATGCCTGTACATTGATCCTCGGCCAACATAGATTGACACATATAAAGAATAGTGAGTTTGAAGTGTAATTGGATGTCAGCCGAAGATTGAAATGATTTTGAAGAGATCGCCCATTCACCCGCCAATCCCAATTGCGGGAGCTCTTCCACGGGCGCTGATCATCAGACCACCACGAGTCCCAGGATTGGCCCCAGCTTCCCCAACACGATTGGTTCCATTGCCGATCTTGCCATTGGCCACCGGTCTCCCGGAGCTGAGGAAAGGGCTTGCGCGTCACTCCGACAACTGCAGGGAGAGGAGTGGCTCGTCCATGGATTTGGATGCCGGGGATCTCCTCCTCAACGAAACAAAGCAATTCAACCAGGACTGTTTCGGGATCCCCAACCGATGAGAAATCCCGGCTCCAGCCCATGACCGGGTAGCGGTTGCTCTTGTCAAGGCTCCCGTACAACGCGGCAAATTGCTCGGTCTCCAGAAATCTACCTCCATGCGCAACGTACACGTCCTAGGGGTCAATTTCCTTGACGTTTTTGCTTGGCGGCACCAGCGTTAGCCGTGCGGAATACTTCGGCACAGCAACGCTTCCTTGAATCATTTCCTTTGTTCGTTCGAAACTCGGAATGATGCATCGTGCGACCTTCACGATAAACTCGAGGGCAGAGGGCGTCAGGTCTCCCCGCGCGGCAGTGTAGGCGTAAAAGGGGTCGTTGATCAGCCTCTCATACAAGGTATTGTACTCCTTGTTGCGAAGGACGGCTTTCTTTGCAATGTCCTTCATGATCCCAAGTCCCCCTCTCGCGCTCCGATCCCCCCTTGCATCTTTTCGCTGCGTCAAGATCTGGGTCTCAACCTGGTCCATCAGAAGCGGCACGCCCAAACTGTTGGCCATCTCTTGCAATCGGACGACTCTTGCGAACTTTTTGATCTCGGGCATGCGTTCGATGAGGTTGTCGCATTGATAGCAATTGATTGTGCCCTCAGGGATCATGATTTTGCAGCGTGAGCATTCGACATCGGGGATGTGCGTGACCTCCGCGAAGCGCCAGTTGGTCGACTTCTTGTTGGGGTCCAGGTCCTGCCAAAGTCCGCTTCGGCCACGGGTCTCCCCGGACTGCTGCTTTACCGCACGAGCCCATGTCCTGTAAAGACCATACCGAGCAGTCTCAAACTCAAGGGCGACCTGTTCCTCCTTGGAGAGGTTCTCGTCGTAGACGTCCCTGACCTTGGTCACGTTTCCGATCCGGTGAGGCCTCATCATGTCGCGGCAAGCAGTCGGGGCCCATTGCTTGTAGTAGAGTTTGCATTCATGGTCAACATTCGCCATGAACGACTCAAGCACCGGAGTCCCGCTCACGCCTCGCTGAGTCTCCTCACGGAATGTCTTGATGCTGTCTTGGTATTTCCTCCTCAGGCTCACGTACATGCGATTGGACCAGATGTACCTCGCGCACTCAGCATCATAGGCATAAATGATCACCTTGTTCGTGATCCAATCCTCGGTCACAAGGGCTTCCGTGTCTCCGGGTGCGAAAAGCCGACAGCCCAATTGGATCAGCATCTCGACATCGACGGCGATGTTGATGGGCCGATCAGCCCGCGCGCCCCCCGCCTTCCGGCCGTGCCTGTCCCAAGGAGGCACTACCGTTAGGTAGGCGTGACCACGTGAGGATTGCTTGTCGCCCATTCCACCAGGGAAGATGCCCATGTAAATGATGTCAAAGAAATTCTGCATGTTGCACGTATGGTAGGCGATTTTGGGCAGCGCCTTTCGGCGTGCGTCCGTGAAATCTTTGCAGAAGCCCGGTCGCACCCCTTTCTTTGCGTGCTCAATGGTGTAATTGACAGCCATGGCAATGGGTTCCCCAGGGATATTGTCGAAGCCACTTGCCTCGGTAACCCAGTCGTTATGCCCGGTGACGCTCGGATTCGCAGCGGCATGAAACTGAGTCCGTTCCACTGTTGTCCGGCCGGAGCGTACTCCACATAGACCTCGAACCTGGTTGACGTGCTCGCGGCCTGCAGCAGGGTGTACTGGGAACAGTTCCAGTCATACCGGCGTTGGATTGATTTGGCAACGGCTGCGTAATCGAAGGAATTGTCCTTGAGATTGATCTCAGGGATGGATCGTGTCGCATGTTCATGTGCATGTCCACGAACCAAATATGAGATCTTTTTGCTCAAGAAGGTTCTTCTGCCATAGTTCTGAATCTGGGGAATCTTGATTCCTGAGCATTTGATCCACTCCCTCTTTGGTTCGGTTGCCTGGCCACGGGTCTCCCCGGGCTTTCCAGCAGCTTTGGGGACTGCTTTCGCCTTGGGGATGATCTCCGGGCCACGGATCTCTCCGGGCTGAGTCTTGCCACTTCCAGCCACGGACGCCTGATCACTGGACGAGGCAGCCTGCTTCGGCATGGCTTTTGCCTTCATCTTCGGTGTTGCAGCACCGGCGGATGGGGTCATCTTGTTGTGACT